CACATTACAGAATACATTTTGGGGCATGTATTCTGTAATCTGTAATGGAATACATTTTAAAAGTAACCTTCCCAACACTGTAAGCCAATAAAGTATTTTCTCCATGAGAGCTATCGGAACAGTCAAATAAACATAAAAGGTCACGCATTACTTTAACTGGAAGCACTGCTTGCCAAGTTTGATCCTAATCATAACCTCAAACCAAGTCTTAATACTTTATGGTTTTTGTCCCCACCATATAATAAACTATTAATCGTCTCTGATGGAGTTCAAATGCATTTAGTTTATGAACCTCAACACCTCAAAGCTTGCCTGTGAAAAACAGCAAAACCTTTTTCGTAAAGCCAGGCGACAAATAAGAGGATGTATGACATTTACAGTAAGACTTTATTGTAGCTCTTTTATGCTGAGGGAGGCATTTGCATCTTTAAATGTAAGGCAGGGTGTTATCCATGAGGGTGCATCACAAAGGCCACAGAAGAATTAGTGCTAAGTAACAAACTAAAATACAAGACTAAAAAAGCATACATGTATTAGTCCATATTATGGAAAATGTTGTAAAAGACACAAAAACATTCAACAGGTGCAGCTCAATGAGTGCAATACACCAGTTCGGTCAAGAAAGCAAAGGTCCCAGTTTCAGACTTCATCAATATCAAAATAAATAGGTTATTCAAAAATCTGTTATAGTTGTTATGATGAGGAAAATTACGCACAGAGGCCAAAATCACTGTGTCTTTCAAAGTTTGTTTCTCTGGACATTGGCTGGTTTTTCAGTACACTCCTAGACCTTTGATGCATTCATGCATTAAAAAAACACACATCAAAGGATGAACCGGTGATTTGGCTTTGCAAAACAGCCAAGTTAGCAAAGAACGTACGGTTACGTTGTAACCTTGGTTCTCTTAGTGATAGACTATCTCTCCAGAGATCTCTGGAGAGATAGTCTCGATATGCTAGAGAACCATTTTAGCTTGTATCTTTAGGCACTTTGTTACTACCAGCCTGTTGCAAAAACACATCATTTGTTCTCATTTCTTTACTTGAATCTATGAAATATCAACACCACAACAGAGACAAAATAGCATTATGGTACCAAAGAGCAATTAGATGATCAGTGCAACTTGTTCAAGCAAAACATTTGCAAAATACTGCATGACACTGTATAAGAGCTATAGTTTAACATTAGAGGATATGGGGACAATTCTGAGCTAGGCTGAGGTGTTTACTATGGTAACTGCAGTTTTTGAGAGGTTCCTTCCTGATTTTATTGTTTTTTTTTCATTAATAATGTTCTTTGTGTAGAGTAAATCATCTATATATACATTATATGGTATCTATATAATTTATAATATGAGTGATCACAGATATCCTTACAACATTTCAGAATTTTAGGTGCTGAACCCAGAAAACATTTAAGAGCGATTTGAGGTCTATTTGTTAAAAAAGCTAGAATGAAACACAACAGTTAATGTTCTGTGTCATCAAATTTTATTGTTAAATATGAGATTTCATTATAAATAAAATAAGTAAGGTCTACTTTAAACATTTTGTTTGTTTCATTCTAGAAACCCACCTGGCAACATGTCCCTTCTCACTCACCTGTTGGCATGTTTGTTCGGTATGGGCTCCTGGGTCTCCATCAACGGTCTGTGGGTGGAGCTGCCTCTGATTGTCCCCCAGATCCCAGAGGCTTGGTACCTGCCCTCCTACCTCTCAGTCATCATCCAGATGGCCAACATCGGGCCTCTCTTCGTCACTCTGATGCATCGTTTCCGACCAGGCGCTCTGAACGAGACAGCTGTCATATATGTGATCATCGGCCTGGGCACTGTAGCAACTTTCCTGCTGGGATTCTTCTGGAAGGAGACTGTGGTTGTAGCAGGTGTGGCTCGCAGCGTGCCTCTCCTTGTTTTAACTTTTTTCCTCGCTGCTGTTGACTGCACTTCCTCCGTCACCTTCCTGCCCTTCATGATGCGTCTCAAGTCTCAGTATCTGACCACCTACTACATCGGGGAGGGTGTGAGTGGCCTGCTGCCGTCTCTTGTGGCTTTGATCCAAGGTGCAGGGGTTGTCCACTGCATAAACAGCACACAGGCTGTGAACTACACCCTCAACATTCCCAACGGTTCTGTGACCTCTGACCTCCAGGCCCAGTATCAGCCTGCAAACTTCTCGACTGAGGTGTTTTTCTTCTTCCTCAGTGCCATGATGCTGGTGTGCCTGGGGGCTTTCCTGCTCCTGAACTACCATCCATCTGTGGCCAGGGAGCAGCCAAACAGCAGATACACCAACGGAGTGAAACAAAAAACAAAAAACAGGGAGTTGGTCGAGCAGAAGCCAATGATGGATCCTTACAGACCAGAAAACCAGAAGTCCAGAAGCAGCTTTGGCACCGGCTCGTACAGCTGGATGGAGGTGTTTTATATCTTTGGGATTCTGGTCTGGGTGAACGCTCTGAGCAACACGGTTCTTCCCTCGGTGCAGTCCTACTCGTGCATGCCATACGGGAACAACGCCTACCACCTGTCGGCCAGTTTAGCTGCGTTGTCCAACCCTGTGGCATGCTTCATTGCCATGTTCTTACCAATCAGGTAAGTGTGCCATTGGCAATTTTAACAAGTTAAATGTTAAAATAATAATAAACCTTCAGCACTCTTTCATATTCTCCATAGTTTTTAATGCAAAAATAATGGATAAAGAAAATGTTTGAATAAAACTTGCTTAAACCCTCTTACAGGAGACACTTTTATATTTTTCTAATGCTACTTACCTTTTCTCTGTTTAAGCACAACTAATGTCAAATTCCTTTATAGTTCATCTGGCCCCTCCCCCACAGCCACATTATATCAACCTTAGAGCATCTGTAACTGCAGTCGGGATGTCATTTGTTTCATTTCACAGATCCCTGCTGTTCATGGGAGCCCTCACAGTGATTGGCACTGGAGTTGGAGTTTATATTATGATCATGGCAGTGCTGAGTCCATGCCCACTGCTGGTTAATGATACCTCAGGGGGTGTTATCATTGTGAGTGCACTGGTAGACTTCTGTTACTCAAACAATTCACAGTGTTTCCTGTAAGGAGACAAGTTGCACTTTTCCACCTTGTGATAAGCAGAAAAGTTTAAACACAGCAGCACTCACCTACTTCTGTTCCACAGGTGTTGGCCTGGGTCCTCTTTATTCTCACCCTGTCCTATGTGAAGGTGATTATTGGGATGATCCTCCGTGATGAAGGCCACAGCGCCCTCGTGTGGTGTGGAGCTGTAGTGCAGCTGGGCTCTCTGCTGGGAGCTGTGACCATGTTTCCTCTGGTCAGTGTGTATGACTACTTTTCATCCGGAGACCCGTGCAACACAAAATGCTGAGAAAAATCAGTTTATATATTCCTGCTTTTGCGATGATCCAACGAGTACATGTATGCATGTATTGAGCCACATAAGTATGATGTTCATTTATGTAATTTGAACAGCTTTATTTCAACGTGGGACAGGTTAACAGTGCTAGTTAGTCTGAGTTAGTCTGAATCCCAGAATCTTATTTCAGTTAGTTTGGCTAGTTTTGGGATTTTCACTGTTCTGGAGCATGAGCAGTGCGCTATAAATGATGTTTAAAAGTGGGGATAATGACAAACTTTGAGCCATATTAAATGGGGCAACTTAGCCACAATCACACAGAAGTGCGTACGGGCGTTCAGCAGGTGATCCATGCACTAATTTAAATAATAACCATTATTTTGCTGACTGCAGCGCAAATTAGCAACCAAAAGCCAGCAGACCTGATGTGTGAGCTACTTATCTGCGAACCATCTGGGTGAACTCTTCTGCTACAAACTGCTGGGCCTGTGTGGTCCTGGCCGCGTGTACTGTAACGGCTGATCTGAATGCTGTGTAGATACATCATGCAGATGACGTATGATCAGGTACTTATTAAAGTCACTATTAGATGCCGTAACCCACAGACAATCTATCACACTGACACAGCTCTATTACCATTTCGAGAGACATTTCGATTTTGCATGTGAGCGGTGTGATATGAGAAAGAAGTCAAATAAAATGTGTGGGAAGTGCTGAAACAAGAAACACAGAGAATTTCTTATTGTACACTGATTTTTTGTAGGTCAAAACCAAAAACATTGCAAATCCACTGGCTGGCTGTAAAAGCCAACTTAGCTGTCTCTGAAACAAAATACATCTGTTGCAGGTGTTTGGGATCCTCCTGTTTCCCCCTCTGACTCTCCACATTAAGCTCTGCTCTGTTTCATCAAAATACCAGCGTTTATTATGAAGCAGAAATGTGCGGGGCTCGGCTCTATAGACTGAGGAGGACAGGGAAGAGTTACAGGACAGAGCCAAACAGCTGTAAACCATTCAGTCATGCCAGTTATAAACACCGTTTTTTTTTGTTGTTGTTGTTGTTGTTGTTGTTGGGTTTTTTTTTGCACCAATAGAACTGCTCCTGTGTAATTAAAGGAGTAAAGTTAGTCCCAAAGAAATGGAAGCACATTTACTGTTGCAGTTTGTGGTTTTAGTGTAGTGACTACTGTAATGATTAAGCAATGTAACATTTTATTGGTTTTTAATAACATGTTTTAATCATGCTGTGTACAATATTACATAAATAACATATAATAATTACATTAAAGCAACAATTAATTTTTTAAACTTTGCTTTCACCTCTTTTCTCAGCAACCTGCACATGACCTGATTTTTATTTATTATAAGTAAACAACTCATAAATACGACATGATTCTGACAACCTACGCTTAAACATCGGCTCCTCTAAATTTACATGATATTATCAAAACAGCAAGCAAAGCAGAAGGAATCAACACACAGTTTCTTGTGGCCATTTTCATGTGAATGTACAGGAACAGCACAATATTACTTCTGTTCTATTAAATATTATACTACTGCACAAAGTCATTTATGAATATACACAGTACTGAAATCTGATCATTCAGCTTTCCCTCTCTACTTGTCAGTCAGCAACACACAGTATTAGTACAGATCAGGCTGTGACATAATCAAATCAAAAAAAGAACATTTATGGTAAACAGCAACTTTGAAATTCATCCTGTGTTACTAACAGACAAAATATTTTACCCCACACGGTGTAATGTGTATTATAATATAAAAAAACAATTAAACAGCACACAGTTCATTAAATAGTTTAAAGAAGGCCTCCTATTGAAAACAAATCTCTGCATTTGCTAACAGAAAGACATTTCTAAATAAGGAGCTGAGACTATTTCTTACAGCTCCTTGCTTTAGCTAACCTTTGCGTTCATCTTACTCTATCATTAGCATCCTCCTCTGTAACAGCCTTCTCCATGTCGCTTTTCACTGCACTGAATCTTCTGATAGATAGATAGATAGATAGATAGATAGATAGATAGATAGATAGATCGATCGATCTTTATTAATCCCTCGGGTAGGTTCCTCGAGGAAACAGCCTCTCTAATATTGTCTCCAAAGTCAAACTGAGTTGTCCCTCTGAAATAATTATTAATCTTTTCCATTCTGCTTACTCCTGTAAACCAAACCATAGCAGGTCTCACGACCATCTTTTAAACCTCTTTCACTCTTGAAAGTTTCCTCTTTCACCTCTAACACTCATTTCCACCCACTCCACGCTGCCTGCACTCCCATCTTCATCCATCTGGTGCCCATTGCTTCGGATTTAAATGTATCTACTTTCACTATTTCTGCTCCTCGCATCGTTACTGTTATACCCATCTCCCTCCCATACATCTACCTGTCTATCACTCTATGTAAATGCCCTTAACTTGAGTTTAAATGACAAGAATGGACTGATAAACACTCATCTGGCTTTTGTGTCTCTCTTTAAGCACAGACGCAGCTTCCTTTGGGTTGACAGGTAAAACAATGGATGTCCAAGACTTGCAATTGACACTAATGTTATACACAGAGGTATTAGTGAACAATCATATGCAGGTTGGTGCCGATAGATGAACAATTGCAATATGATTGCTGGAATATAACATGACAAGTTGATGAATGTGGTAGCCCGGATGATTCGGAAGGCTCTTTTTTTGGCAGGATGCAGCTCATCTTTTTCCGGTGCTGATTTCATCAGCGTTATCAGGATGTTTCTGTTGTAGTAGATCATAAGTGTGCAACTGAATAACACCAGAACACGTGGGATAGCTCCTAACACCATGGCTGTCTGAGAGGGGATAGTAATTAGATTACTTATGAAAACAGCAACTGCAGTAAGGAGCCACACTGTCAGAGCACACATCTCCCTGGATTTGTATTTCTTCAGCAGATGGTAAGATGTGGGGTAAACCACAGCAATGTATCTCTCCATGCATATGAAAACCAAACTTGATGAGCCTCCTGTTTGTGTGTAGTTAAGCAAAACCTTGAGCAGTATTATCTGGTACTGCGGCAGCAAAAACAGGAAAATTAAATGAACGAAGGATGTAAAATAATGCACAGTGTGGAAGATAGCTAAATTGCAATTGAGGATATCTATAGCCTTCTTGGATGTGTAGATGATCCACAGCAGTTTCCCTACCACTGCTTCCCCGATGATAAAAGTAAAGATGTCAATCACTGAGAGCATCGCTATGTGAGTTGGTGTAAAAAGACATTGGTCAGCTTTGCTGGAGTTGAATGTGGCATTGCTGGATAAATTCTCCATCTTACCAGACTGTAGTTGAAAACAGAGAGAAAAGAAAATCAGTGAAAAGCTGCCAATAGAGGCTTAAAGATTCAAATGTTTTACATGTCCACTCACCAAACACTATTAGGTACACTACGTAGTTGAAACCTCCTCCCTCTTTTCCTCCCCTTTAGCACTGCCTTAATTATTATAACAATTATTATAACAAGGCATTTTTGCCCAGAGAACTGCCGCTTGTTGGATATCTTTTTATATTCAAACTATTCTCTGTAAATTCCAGAAATGTTCATTAGGAAAGACCAGCAGACCAGCGTGTCTGGCACCAGCAACTATGCATCATTCAGAGTCATTTAAATCACCTTTCTTCTCAACTTCAGCAGATGGTCTTGATCATTCTACAAACCTAAATGTATTGAGATGCTGGCATGTGATTGGCTGACTAGATATCTGCGTCAACGAACAGTTAAACAGGTGTACCTAATAAAGAGACCAATAAGTCTATATGTTGTAATATAAATGCTAGGGTATTATATAAATACAGAAATGCCTACTGTATAATAAAATGTGTTTTAATCATTTACATTTTTATATTTTTTGATACAGTTTCAACTTAGTTGTCCTACCAGGAAATTTAAAAAAAAACAAACATATGCAACTTTATTTATTGATTTTGATCTTCAAAAAGATTAAAAAAAGAAGAGATTCTTCACTGTACTAACGGAGTTTTCAAAACAAGCATTTTTGAGAATCAGTTGTAACATTGTGACCTTAAACATCTGTGTATTATTAACTTTTTCTTTAAAAATAAGGCTTAAATAAGAAGACGACAACAGACATGACATGAAATGACATTTATGAATATAATCAGACAACAAAATAACACTGAAATTCAAAGTCTGTGCTTACCAGGTGTGTAAAGCTGCTGCTTGAAGGCCAACAAAAATGACAGACTTTACAGCGCACACAGTACAAATGACACCTGATTTCCCTAAAAGGCGATGAGTAGGTTAAAGGCAGCCAAGCAAAACACGTCCTGATTTTCCTACTGGCAGAGTGTGAAGGATGTTCGTGACGGTACTGGCTGTGACATTCTCAAACATAAAGGAAAAACAAATGTAAAGAAACCAGCAGCTGAGCGCTGAGATTTATTGTGTTAGTAGGCAAAGCAGAAATCCCACAGACCACAAGGTGTCAGTGTGGACCATAACTGAGAAAGAAATCCTGCGCGCTGCACTGAAAGCGCTATAAGGAGCACACAGGTTATCACACAAGACTCAGAACAGTACTTTTATTTTTCTTTCTGAATATACATTTTATGTTGCTGCATCACAAATGTTTCTGCTGTGGAAATGAATGGTTATGTTATTTATTTATTTATTTTTAGCTCCAATCAAACACATGGTACTGGTTAACACTGGACGAGTCAGGGAGTTAATGGTTGCAGGATTGATTTCTGCTTTCATGCAAGAGCTTTGATAATTCCAAGAACAGTTAGTTGTTGTAAAAAGTATCAATATTTTTTTTTCCCTCTGTTGATATCCTCTTTTTCTTGGTTATATCATGTCACTTTATATTAATGACGTTTCTCTGTTAGTGTGATAAATGTAGCCTATATGAGAGATGTAGCCACTGTGATTTTAACATCGCTGTTTCCATATCAGATTTTCAGAGTCAGACGAAATCATGCTTGGATGGTTGTTCTAGTATTTTATGTCCCCATTACTTTGCAGGTATCTGTTAATGTGCATCGCTAACCAAGCTTACTAAAGTTAGGGGGTAATTTCCCGTATATAATGTACATAGCATACTAGCGAACATGTCATTGTCACTTGTGGATCAAGAAAATGAAGATAAATGAAGATACATCAGCTATAAACTTAAAGTTCAGACTTCAAAATGGACAAAGTGATGACTTCACGGTGCCAGCATCCACCTTTTTATACAGTCAATGATCAGGTTTCTCAAACTTCTGCTGAAGGAGAAAGGAGCTTTTCTCTTTATTTTCACCTTGACCTTTATAGTCCTTATAACCTTCCTAACACTGATGAATACATCTGTTGGCAAGAAATGCCACCGCAATAATGGCTAAACAGCAATGAATCAGTACATCGATGATGCAGACATTATTCTGGAACATTTTCCTTGTAAAATAACAAAAAAGCTCCTCAGTCATACGTTGGCTTCCTAAACTGGCACTCTCAAAACTTAAGAAGTCAAGGTCTAAATGTTAACTCACTGAGGTCTAGAATCATCCAGGCTTCCACCCCACACTACAAACACAACCGCCGAATTTTGGATTCAGTATGTAAAATAAACACTGCATTTGGTTGTTAGAACTAAAATAAATACAATAAAAAATACTGCGAGTTGGCAAAAGTACTCGTTTGAATCACGAACACCCCAATTTATATATAAGTGTGTGTTTATCACGAACGCGTAAAATAAACACACTGACAACTATAGTAAGACTCAGTATAAAGAACTTATAAACACTGTCACTCACTATTTCACTGCTTAAATTTAATTCTGCCTCAGGAAAAAACACACATGCAATGTATCAAGGTTTGAGAAGTTTTTTTTTAACAGATATTTTTACTGAGAATTTTTCTGTAGTGTTCATATTTTACTTTTACCATAATAAAAGGCACCCTTTGCCCTCCATTCATTTCAATTCATTCATAACATATTTAAATGAATACACTCTTGGAACCTGATTTGTATATGATGTGGAACATGGAACATGACTGACGTAACCTTGTTACCTTCAACAACAACCAGTGCTTAAAGCAAATATCAGCTGAGGTTGACCTTTATGCACAAACCGAGGTGAAGCG